TAACTAGTCCCAGGAGGATAGTTAACATTGGGCAAACAAGAAACCAACAACTTCGATGTTAAAATGCTTTATCTTTTTGCGTTTAACCACTCGAAACTTTTTTGTTTTTGAAGGTTATAGAAATACATGAATTTGCTAAGATGTTCAGAAAACTCGAGACTGTGTTTTATCGGCTATAAAACTCTCGCCTCCGGCTCGAGTTTTATATGCCGATAAAACACTCTCTCTCGTTTTCTAAACATTACTTAGACGCTTCTTTCATTAACTTTTCTATTTTGCTATCTCTTTTCTTTTTCTTTGGCTGTTCCCTAGAAATGAACAACAGACAGTTTTCTATATTTATAAGCAAATTATTAACGCATGACAAAATATTGTAGAAAAAATTGTATAGGAATCAAAACTCAGATTCTATGGCTGACCCATGAACTGATTTCCCATTACCTTTTCTTTGGTGACTTCTTCTTTTGGCGTTTAGTTCCAATCTACAAAGGATAAAACAAGGTTAAACGGGGGCCCATATAGATAAAAAAGCAACAGATCGTACAACATGGATTTTCTCTCTAGAAGAGACTTCAGGGCTGTTCCTATATGCAAATCAAAAATACGTACGTGTTAGTAACGTGCACATCATTAAAGCTGGAAAATTGGCAGAGTCATCAATCAACAAACTGTAATACACCTGTAGGGTTTTACTCTATCACTTGTAAACGTATTTTGTTTTACCTAAAAAAGGTATTGACATTATTTGTCCTTAATTCAAACATAAAAAATATACATACATATCACTTACTTCGTTTTTCTTCTTGGTATTAGCTTCTTGGTACTTTTGATACACCGCCTTTGGAAGCGACTTGCCATTTTTCAAAATGAAGCTGGAAATTTCACGCCAATTATTACTATGTATCTTTGTGGCCTCCAGATACAACAGTTTTTCCTCTTCGGTAATGCCGTCTTTTCTAGTAATTTCGTTTCAGATTCTTAAAATTAGAAATAAAAACTAAACATTTATTTCTCCCCTTTACTTCATAAACTATACGTATACACATTTGGTTTGCAAACACGAGAAAGAGACGCTTGAGTTATCCTATCAAAGCCTGTTTTAAACATGCTGTATTGTAAAATTTCTTTCTGTAAAATTACTTACGTTTGTAGCTATTCTCCTCTTCCTGTAACAGTTGGTCTTTATCCATTTTCTCTCTCGGCATTGACCTACAACAAGCTGTCAAACTACACAGCATGAAAGACACTTCAAAATCAAACTAAAAGTATTCTCCACTTGCGAATAAGATCTGAATGCAAATGCAAATACAGCAGTGGATGTTGACTTTTCGTGCACAAAAACAAAAGGTGACAATGAAGTTTATGCGGAATGTGAAATTCTTTTGTTAAAGCAGCAAACTTCAAAAGGGAAAAAATAATACGATACACGCGTAGTGTGATATACAAAACAAAGGAAGTCACATTCCACGCTCAAAGTTTGAAAAAAGGCGTTGTGGCAAAATCGTCTACTTTAATTTTGAGTTACAGGGATTAGAAGTGTTGAATGAAAAAGCTCTATAGCTCATACCATAAAACTCAAAACATCAATATTATATTGCAAAAATGAGCCGTTTATGTCCTTTCCCGGCATTTATTGGTACAGTTAGCATGGCTACTTTAAATCTCCTTTCAGTAATTATAGAATTACTCGAAGATGAAGAGGATGTCTGCCCTTTATTTCCTGCACACAACCTTTGCATTTCTATAGTCATGTTACTGCAAGTTTTCTCAGCTGTTCAGGGTGTTTCTCTTCGAGCTGCCATTAGACTACTGTTTCCAACCTTACCTGGACAAAGAGATGAATTATGGCCTCCTTTGACCCGAAACCCAGTTCAGATGTGGGAGTTGACAGGCGAAACACCATCAAGCCTTACAAGAGTTGTTCAGAGAATCTCAGTTGATGCTGAAAGATTTATCCGCAATTCCCGAAACCCAAGATACAGAGAGATTCAAACAAGGCCGTTTGCTTTGACAACTCGTGACCGGATATTGATGCTTTTTGTTTGGCTACGCACGTATCCGACCCTTTCAGAACTTGGAAGTATGTTTGGAGTGGGTGCTACAACTGCAGCAGAAAATATCCATATCCTTCTTTTAATAACACTTTTTCATTATGAGCCCCTCTACATTAGATGGCCTAGTTTACGGGTTTGGAACAGTTTACGAGGAAGTATTGCGGATTTCCCTGATGTAGTTGGTATTATTGACGCCACGCCAATCCGCATCAACAGACCCCAAGGCAATATGTGTATGGATTTTTAGTTTATAGATTTCAATTATGATGTTTTACCTTGTGTTTCTTTTATTTCATTAATGTTGTATTATAATTATATTCCTTAGTTTGTTCTTATATTTATATGTAGTTATATATATATAGTTGTGCTAGCTATATTTAATTCGATATTATATTTTATTGTATATAGTTTGAGGGCCACAAGTTTATTAGTGTTATTAACGCTATTAGGTGCTACCCTCTATAAATAAAGGCTATTATTAATTATTATTATTATTATTATTATTATAACTATTATTATTGTAAATGTTTTTCTTATATTTTGTTAGAGACAGCTATACTTGTTGTCAGTATTATTGTGGTCAGCAAATCGCGTAGAGGCGGACCCTAGATAAACAATATGCTCTTAAGTTCTTAATCTGAATCAGAATCCAAAGGAAGAAGCCGATTAAAGTGGCTTTTTTATTGATTAAGTCCAGACCAAGGTGATTGTGCTGAATTATTTCCAGCGATGCCGTTCAAAGTCACATTTGGAGCTGGTGAAGTTTTACACATATGGGACTACTTGAGTGGTCTTTACGAGGCCTATTTAGGGAAAACATTTCTCCAAACACCTGTACTCTTTCTAGTGTTCTCATTTTCGCTTGAACTTTTTAGTTTTCTTGTGACCTCTTCGTTGCCAATGCAAAACATGGAGCCATTTTGGCTTGCAAAAAAGAAAAAATTACAATTTGCAAGCGTTGCTAGGCAACTGAACTACCAATTATAATCTAGTAATCTGGCCCTGCGAATTACGGAAAAAAGCCCTCCTTCATTAGCCAATCAGCATCGAGTAATTTTGTCCTGTATGTGATAAGCAAAATTATCGATAATTATTATACGCACATATGTATACATATTATTAAATATATGATATATATAATAGGTAATCACCTAAAATGTTATGAGAAACCAACATGGCGGCTACGTCAAAAAGGAGTTACAAATCTCTCGGCCCCGCATCATGCCCCCCCCCCCCCCCCCCCCCCCAACAAAGCAACAACAACTGAAAATAAATTCAGTAAACTTACTCTTTCTTTCTCTTTTGTTTCACAGTGTGCCAACATATTCAAGCAATTTTGCAATACAGATGACGACTGTCCATGTAAAAAAGCAAAATATGTCTGTGAAGATAGGGAGTGTGTGATGAGAGTCAAACCAAGACGTGAAAGTCAACAATAAATGTCATTAAAGATCCTTGCGCCTTATAAATCGATTCTAATACTTCAAACGCACATAACGTTAATATTTATTGTGCCTCCACCCGGATAGCTCAGTCGGTCTATTGTGCGGGGAGGTCTTGTAATTACATTTGCAATGGTTAGACCTTCCGTTCTTCCCGGATAACGACATTAAATCGTAGGCCCTGTATCCTAACCCTTCCTAACCTGCAGTAAAATGGGGGACATAAAAGAACCGGTTGAATTATTCGTATAAGAGTAGGGGATGGTCTCCCGGCGGTTCAACAAACTATTCCGATTTACAGGCATAACTCTAATATACTCTAACAACAAGAGAAAATGAAGTAAGAGAAGAAATCCCCGTGTCCCATCATGTGCACACTTTGATGCTATTTTTAGAATCATTGATGCTATTTTTAACTCGTTACCATGCCCGCGCGATAATCATGCTTCCCTTTAATGACTCGTTTTAGGACACGAAAAGCGCCATATTTCGCTACGTCCACGACAAAAACACAGGCTTTGTTTACTGCAAGACTGGAAGCCACCTACCCTCAAGAAATCAACCAATCAGGTTCTTCGCTCAAAATCATTGATGCTATTTTTAACTCGTTACCATGCCCGCGCGATAATCATGCCTCCCTTTAATGCCTCGTTTTAGGACACGAAAAGCGCCATATTTCGCTACGTCCACGACAAAAACACAGCCTTTGTTTACTGCAAGACTGGAAGCCACCTACCCTCAAGAAATCAACCAATCAGGTTCCTCGCTCAAAATGTCTCCAAGCTAAAAATAGCATCAAACTGTGCACATGATGGTTACAAGGCTATATAGGTAGGATTCCTTCTCTTAGTTCATATTCTCTTGCTAACAACTTACACATGATTGTAAACTTTTTCGTGTTACCCTCTTTAAACAAAGTCTTTACTTACTTAGTCCCAGGGCAAACGTCGTACTAACCATGAGCTTAGTTTTGTCGAACCTATTACATTTAAAATAGGCTCAAGCCTAGTACGACGTTTGCTGCAATTGAGAACGACCCTATTGAACAGGTTCGAGTCCAGATAAGTTCGACAAGCCAAATCGGATATTACGACTCTGGAGCGACTGTTCGGCAAACGGCGTTTTAAACACGTGCTGAACTAAATTCATAAATTATGCAAAATAGTAAATCAATCATGCAAGTCGCATGACTTACACCAAAGCCGTGAAAACAACCACTCCCCCACCTTCCAAACACTCATTCCCCCAGAACCTATGTTAAATAGGTTCGGTACGACATTAGTCCGACGTTTGCCCTGGGCCTTAACTTACTTACTAAACTGCATGGCTGCTAATATATAGTGCCTTAATATGCAGCCCGTAAAGTTCGCCATAAATTAGTCATAACATTAGCCATAAATGTGAAGCGCATTGGGACAACCGTGAAATACGCTAAGAACCTCCCATCATTATATGAATTTATGCACTGCCTAAAAGCGTAGCTCCCAATGAGGCAAGTCTCTGGGAACCAATGTAGATAAAACGAAAAGCTAGAAATATAATCGGAAAATCTTTTTTTATTCGAGATGAAGATATGATATCCCCATAAGAAATACCATGTAATGAAGTCACTACATTGTTTTGCTCGCGAGCGTCTTTGTTTTCGACCTTACCACGCTTCCACTTGGCCACTTATTTTGTCACATGTACAAAACCCACCACCAGCTACCCCAGGGGCTAGTTTTGTTTTTGTTTTGAAAGTTTCTTTGACAAAGTTTTCTATGGCCGACATTTCTACGCTTTGAATTCCTGATTAATTTTAGTAGAAGAACGAAGGATAACTACAGATAACCCAAAGCAATGTTTTAATTTATTGTAATTTACCTTGGATGCTTTTCATTCAAACCCAAATTTTTCAGGACAAATCAGCACTATAAAACAGACTTGAAAACTAATTAAAAAAGGCGAGCTAAAAATAAGCCTACTTAGTTTACATAACGATATGTTTGTTTATCCATATGTTGAAGAGTTTTATGTTTTTACATGAGCTGTTTATTTCGTACCGCTTTGCAAGGCATGAATGACAACCAAATAATTATCTTATCCTAATTCAGTCTTTATCAGTATTTCTTTCTTTCTTTTCATATAAGCCTAACTAGTCTATTCTTCGAGAAACTTAATTCCTAAGCTTATTAGTTTTTGATATATCAAAAATAGCGGGACTGAGGGCGATCGATCTGCAATACAGTCAATTCAAAAACGTTGCCGCGTCGACTTGCTCAAGCCTACGCGACTGGACCGAATGAAATATGGGTAAAAATCACTAAAGCGGTTAAATATTTGTTGTAAATAAGTTGTTCCCGCTAGTAATAAAATATTAATGGCGAGAAACAAGCCATCAAATGCATGTCTTTGGGTTTAGGGAAAGAAAAACAAAGTAGTTATGATTCAGTTCACAATTTCGAAGATGTGAAGGCATTTAAAAAACGTCTCCTTCAACACTTCCCGCTCGCCAACGAAGGTTTGTGCTGTAAACCAGGCATAACTAGTCAGATAAAATAATGGAGTCAACTCTGCTTTAATGATTGCTACCCAGAGTTCCTTTCGGTCCAGTCGCGTAGGCTTGAGTTGGTTAATGAAGGGTGCATGAATATTTAGTGTAATATGCTCTTCTTTTTTTATGTTTTATCCAGCAACTTTTGGAAGAAAGTCTGTGATTTGCTTTGAAATCAAGGGGGCTCCCTATGCTGTATATTGGGACCCCTTACGTATTGATCAGAACCCTCTATTTCTAGAGAGGGAAAAACAAAAATAGCGGAGAGAAATGAGACGGCAAGTGTTAAATTTCGTCGATGTTATAATAATGATATGCTTGCTTTTGGAATGAAACTTCGTAGGATTAAAGGTTATGTCACATGGAAGGTGCTATAAGCGTTTGGTTTCAAAATCTTATGAGTATTTTTATCCTCATTCATTATATTTTTACAACGACCACTCCCCAAACGGGGCTCTTCCGTGAGGTTCCCTCCACACACACTACCACTACATTCTATATTTACAACATACACTCAACTCACATGTTGCTTTTTACGGAGGGAGGAAACCGGAGATCCCGGAGAAAATCCTCGTGGCAAGGGAGAGAACAACACATCAAACAAACTCAACTTACGTATGATCCAGTCTGAGCCAGGGATCGAACACGGACCACAGTGGTTGAGAGGCGAGCGGTAGACCAATACGTCCACCATGCCACCCATTTATTGCCGTGTGTTCATTTTGAACTCGAGTAATTTTGCCTGAAACTACTTACTTCTCATTTCTGTCGTTTACTCTTGAAATATATATAAAGAATCTCAGTGGAAAATATGCTGCAAAAAAATAGAAGGAAATTGCCTTTCAGCTCCCCAGTACTTAGTTTTTGAGATATAAAGACTCAAATTGAAAAAYGTTTTAGCTAACCTTCGTAGCAGCTTACGCATGTTCTTATACGGTTTCCGAGCCCATCCCACAAGGCTTACCGCCTCACCTATCATGTACTACATCTTCGTAGCAGCTAGCTTAGTTCCTCATATTAATTGACAAGGGGAAAAAATTCGCATTGAAGTCACTTTGTTCAGATATATATATCCAAATGATTTTAATTGTTAATCATGTAAATATATCGCAGGTACTGCACCTTAGTTATTTTAATAAACTAGAGAAATTAATAACGAATTAGAATTTACAATTTAGACTGCACTAATTAAGATTCAGAGTAATATTTTAGCGGCGATGGATAAACAGCAAGTCACCCAAGTCATTGGTGCTAATGGATCTGAGCGCGGCATTCGACACTATAAACCACGAAGTGCTGCTGCGACGCCTAAATGTCACATTTGGAATCACTGGCACTACCCTACATTGGTTTAAATCATATCTTGCTGAAAGAAGTCAACGCGTTTGTGTAAATGGAAAGTACTCTAGGAACTTTTCATTGGCTCAGGGGGTACCACAAGGATCCTGTCAAGAGAATATGAACTAAGAGAAGGAATCCTACCTATATAGCCTTGAAACCATCATGTGCACAGTTTGATGCTATTTTTAGCTTGATGGCATTTTGCGCGATGAACCCGATTGGTTGATTTCTTGAGGGTAGGCGGTTTCTAGTCTTGCAGTAAACAAAATATGGCGCTTTCCGTGTCCTAAAACGAGGCATTAAAGGGAAACATGATTATCGCGCGGGCATGGTAACGAGTTAAAAATAGCATCAATGATTCTAAAAATAG